CAAACCTAGTTTGTCTTCAGGTAAGAGGCATTTCTAAAAAAAAAAAAAAACCAAAAAAAAAAACAAACCTAGTTTGTCTTCAGGTAAGAGGCATTTCTCACAACCCACATGGGAATTATTTTCCCTCTCACCCCCTCAGAAACGACAACCTGATAAATCTCTCATATTTCAGTAGACCCTCCTGTGCAGATAGGATCTTTCTCTTGGCTGTGCTCCCCAATCTCTGCCTGGCTCTGCACCACCCTTTAGGCTGACCCCTGTCCCCTGAGCTACAGCAGCAGCTGAGGACACATTTATGAGCAGGGACATCCCCCTGAGTGCCCTTTGTCACCAGCATGGGGACACCAGCTGGCTGTCACTGACACTGTGTGCACACAGGGGACAGAGGAGAAGTGCTGATGCAGGAAAGAGAGAAAGAAAAAAGACACAATAAATGACATTCTGGAGAGGAATGAAGGAGAGGTATCCCTGGTGTATCTCCCAGGGCCATGGGCTGCTCAGAGCCCTGTGTCAGCAAACAGGATGGTGGCTCTGATGGATCACCCAGCCTGGGACAGCTCAGGGGACCCAAACCAGGGCTCCCACCCGACCCTAAATCGCTCAGCCCCACACCGGGGCTACACCAGCCCTTCAGGGCATCCCCTGCTGCAGGATTGCATTGGGGAGCCCCACATCCCTTCAGTCAGCACCCTAAACTGCAATATTTTGCCATAAACAAACATTACAAATGCTGGAACTTGTTAAATGTAGAACAAAATTTCAGGAAAATATCCAGGCTGAGCCAAGAGAAAGTCTGTGGTGCTGCATCTTCAACACAACATCTCCTTGTAGGAAAACATCCCCTACACTTAGGGAAGGGATCCCAGCATTTTTTCTTCTCCCAGCACAAACATTAGGGATGCAGAGAGGAGGCACAAAGCAGAGCACAGGAGGATTCACTGTGACCTGACAGAGATTCCACCATCACCTGCCAAACACCCCAATGTCTCCCCCATCCCTGTCCAAATTGAAAGGAATGAGAAGGGAGAGTCTTTACAAACAGACTCTGACTCTGGGGTGAGATAAGGCTGATATTGGGAGATAGAAAGAAACAATAGGAAGGATTTGCATAGGAATTCTAGTGATTGGCTTACCCCAGTCTATGTTAACAGACTACCTGAGCAGAGACACAGAGATGTATATTGAAAGGGGGAATGTATGATAGAAGGGGGGTTTCATCAGGCGTTTCGGGGAGCCTGGAACTTTCAAGTACCTCAGCAATGGGGAAAGAGAGAGGGAACTGCGGCCGGAAAATTGGGATAAAAGAGGCTGTGTCCTCTATGAATTTGAGAGACCCCATGGGAAATGCCCATGACCTCTCCCTTTATTCATGAATAAAGCTGCAGGACTCCTCTGTCTCCTTTTTGGACATAAACCTCTGGTGCTTGTGGATTAATTTTCCTAACAAAATGAACCCCATGGATACACACAGGGGCTGAGAATTCCCCAGCTTTGTGCCCACMTGCAGCCTCATCCTCCCTCTCTCAGCCTCTCCCCTGGCCCCAGGGTGTGATGTTCACTGTCCATCCCCTGGCAGCCAGAGCTGCTTTCCACCACAGCAGCTCACACAGAGCCAGTCCCTGTCTGCTCCTGGGGGCACAAGCTTTTTGGGACCAGCAGGGTGAAMGGGGTATTTCTTGCAAAGGAAAAGCAGAACAGGGATCAGCTCAGAACAGGGACCAAAGCTCCCCTGCACAGCGGGGCTGGGGAAAGAGCAGAGGGATGGGTACAAGYGAGACAGCCAATTCCTGTGCTTCAACCAATTGATCACAATTAAGGTTAAGTCATTAAGCAGGTGCTCCTGCTTTGAGTAACTTATTTCCACCTGGCTTCCCACCTTTTTTTTTTCTTTAACTAAGAATGTAAAGATATCAGTTTAATTTTGTCTTGATAAGCCAAGCTATCCCCAATGTCACATGTGTTTTCAAAAAACAGAAGCGTGTTTTGCATTCAAGATACAGCTATTAAAAACAACTTATGTAACTTGTAACTCAGCTGATTTTTGAGACATAAAGCCCTACTCCTGCAGGTTTTTTAAACCCCCTTTTGCTTGGGCTGTCTTTKGGTTGAGACTGGACCATGGTGCACCCCATATCCTGCAGAGTTTTCTCTTTCCAAAGCCAGAGCTAAAGGGGAATTTTAAGAATAATAAGTAAGAAAATATTGTGGAAAGAGTATAATGTAAACAAGTACAAGGAAAACATTGAAGAGTAACATYCAAACCTCTTGTGGTTCAGAAAGAGGAACAGATCCTTCGGGACTGTCATACWTACTTTAAAGGGCCCTTTTAGAAGTTTTACTGAGTGAAACAAAAAGAAAAAAAAAACATTAAAACCTGTAATTCACTGAGCAATATGCTTAGCAGAGGCTGTGGAGGTTTGCAGTGAAAGAAGGAGGAGGCTCRTGATAACATATTTTGTAAATCAAGGCCAAATCAAATGCATTGAGCTTCAGCAGCTGTGCCAATTAAATCTCATTCAATTTGCTGAACAAGAACGTTAACATTAATCACTTTGGCAAATTTCTTAGAATATTTCGTGTCACTGAGTAGTTAAGTGATTTTGTGCTTGTTTACAGTGCAGAATAACATTCTGTGAGGCAATATCATTAGTCACTGAGCAACTGTGTGATGCTTTAGGAGCCCTGAGTGGTTCTTAGCAATGTTTCTGTAGTGGTCCTTTGGCTCCTAGAGGTTTTTCAAAAGTATCCAAC